GTCTTAAAAATAAAAACATAAAATATGCATCTTAATGACTTAAAGTCAGATTGTGGTGATTATTTGAATGTTTTGTGTTTTTCTTCCAGCTGCTGCAGATGAATCAGCTGATCAGTGGCGCCCCCTGCTGGCTGACACAACCAACTGCTGCTTTGAATTAAAGGAAAAACAATCAGTTTGCTTCATTTCTAAATAATATTACCAGTTTAACATTTGACCAAGGATGTTTGTTACTTTATATCTCATTTTAAATTAATCCCAAAAGAGTTTTAAACAATTAAAATAAAAGCTCAGTTCTTAGGCTTCTTCTGTTTGATTTTAAATCATTTAAAGTTGCAGCTGTGTGAATCATRGCTGCTCTTTTTATAAATGATGTTAAAATAAACAGTTTAGTTGTGAAGCTCAGAGGTTTTACATGTCCAACTGCACTTGAACGCATCACACTTAATTCCATAAATATGTTGGACTAAATGTCTGAATCTGAGTCAAAGGACAAAATAATTTGACTGAATTCTCTGTTTCACACTAAAAAAAACAGTTTTTACAGTCTTCACCTGCAGCTCTAAAACAACTGTCAGTAAACTAAAATAATAATTGTTGTCACTGAACAGAGCAGGTGATTCTTGGATTAACTGTTCAACAACTTTAACATTTTTCATGTTGAATACAGTTTGTGTTTTACAATCATTTGTTAGCTAAACTCAGAGGAGGAGATGAAACAGTTCAATTAATGAGCTGGTTCACCTTGTGGATAATACTGTGATTAAAGAAACAAATTAAACTCCATATAATACTCACCATTTTCRATCTTATAATGATTTCTGTCTTAAATATGGAAATGTTACTAATGTGAAAACATTCAAGCTCATTACAAAGTTATTCCAGACTCTATTTTACACTTGATTAGAGGWGTTGTAACATCATCCACCAGTCTCACCACTCCTCAACTTCCACTAATCTTACTGGTGACTGMGATTTCAGAGAAACTCCAGTTCAAAACAAAACTCTCTGATACTTATTCATTCATTTTTTGTTTCCTTTTCAATCTTATAAAAACTCTATCTTACATTTTTTTCCTAAACAAACTGTGCCTCTTTTGAGAAAACAATGTTTGAAACTTCCTCTGCACCAAAAATGAAAGAAATTCATTTCTGAACATTTAAAAATATAAATCCCTCTGATGACTTTCTGCATCAGTGGTTTGGGTTTGAAACTAACTCCTGTTTTTTTAATGAGATCAAAACTACACAGCATTATTTTTTTCAACGTAAATTTTCGTATTTTTTGTCAGGATGTTTTTAAATGGTTACAACCTGGGGTTAGAGTCAGAAAGACATTATTTTTGGTCTTATACTGGACTGTAAAAAACATCTTTTAGTAAACAGTTATAATTCTTGGTAAATCATATWTACACAAATCCAAATGTAAGAAAATGTCTTCTAAATTTTGTGTTTTTATCAATGAGTTTCTATGTAAAAGCCCTTCAAATAATTTCTCAATGTTATTGAAGAACATAATTTAGCAGTTTTGTAGCCTGTAATTGTCTGTTTTCAGTGTTTTATTTTATTTTATTTATTCTTTCTTTCAAGTCATCTGTTCTGCACCTATGCCTCTTTCCTTTGTATTTGAATATGTATTTGTATTACTGCCTTGTGGTTTGTATAAAGCTTTCAATTAAAAAAGTTTAATTAACAAGATGTGTACGTTAGCATTAGCATCTGTTAGCTGGTTGTAAGAGCACAATGCATCATGGTCCATTTCCTGTCATGTAGGTCCACAGTCAGTACTTTTACAGTCAGATTTCATGTCTCCATCAAACACTGATCCAACATGTCTGACCTCACTGAGCTATCTGCAGCAGGTAAGATACTAACTGCTCTTAATCCTTCCACAGACCTAAAACAGAATCTCTTTAATCCCGGGTTTAARCAGCTGAATAAATGAGATTAAATCCTGCAYAACTGAACTGTTTTTAGTTTATTTCTGATATTTAAATCTGGTTCTGGTTCCTGCAGGGGTCTGGGCTGGGCTCAGTCTGTGGGAGTGGTCTCCTGCGGGTCACGTGGTCCGGGTCTTTGTTGATGTGATTCGGTGGAGGAACAACAGGAGGACTGGAAGGAAAAAAAAAAAGTCCCGGAGCGACCCACCGACCGATCCCGACCACCMTCCCCGGCGCGCACTCACCGCTCCTCGGCCTGGATGCTGCAGCTGGAGCCGCTGCGGAGCTTCTCCTGGTTCGGTGGTTCCGGAGCCCGTCCCGGTTCGGTCTTAGCTCTTGTCCCGCCGGTGTGGGGGGCTGTGCAGCGGGGGGATGGAGGCTGAGTCCGGGCTGTGAGCAGAGAGGTGTGGGGGTCGGTGCGGAGAGCCCCAGGCCCCAGGCTGCTTTGTTGTCCTGGGCTCGGTTCTGAAGGCTTCATCCGCCGCGTTTTACCCACAAACTGGTCCTGAAAACACAGAAGGTTCTGCAGAACCACATGGACCCGACCCGGATCTGAACAGTGGATTTTCTGCAGTTTTTGCCTCATTGGAGTTTTTTTTAAGAAAACCCAAAAAACAAAAACAGATTCTGTTTTTACATTTTATCTTTTTTACCTCACCTTCATCCTCCTCCTCCTCCTCCTCCT